CAGTTTCCTCCTCCTCCGGGTTGTGGTGGAGAGAGATGTGGAAGACGCGTCGTCGTCGGACTAGAAAATAAATAAAACTAGCCGGGCATGGTGAGGCGGGCGCCTGTAGTCCCGCAGCGAGCTCAGAGGCGAGGCGGCGAGGAATAGGCGGGAACCCGGGCGTGGAGTTTGTGAGTGAGCCGAGATCGGCCACTGTTTACTCTAGCCTGGGCAACACAGCGAAGCGAGACTCCGTCTCAAAAAAAAAAAAAAAAAAAGAACCTGCATGGAGGCTAGGGCAGTGGCTCACACCTGTAGGCCCAGCACTTTGGGAGGCCGAGGTGGGAGGACAGTTTGAGGCCAGGAATTCAAGATAAGCCTGGGCAATAAAGCGAGACCTCATCTCTACAAAAAATCAGCCAAGCATGTTGGTTGTGCGCCTATAGTCCCCACTACTGGAGAGGCTAAAACAGGAGGATTGCTTGAGTCTGGGAGTTCCAGGCAGCAGCGAGCTAGGATCAGGCCACTGCACTCCAGCCTGGGTGATATATAGTAAGATCCTGTCTCTTAAAAATAAAAAAGAAAGAAAATAACCTGCAGGGTTCACTGCAGTTTCCTGAATGAAACCCACACACCTTAATACACCTTTTTTTTTTTTTTCTTTTGAGACGCAGTCTTGCTCTGTCCCCCACGCTGAAGTGCAGTGGCACAATCTTAGCTCACTGCAACCTCAGTCTCCCGATTCAAGTGATTCTCATGCCTCGGCCTCCCGAGTAGCTGGGACTACAGGCACCTGCCAGTATGCCTGGTTAATTTTTAGTACAGACAAGGTTTCATCATGTTGGTCAGGCTACTCGGGAGGCTGAGGCAGGAGAATCACTTGAACCCAGAAGGCAGAGGCTGCAGTGAGCCGAGATCATGCCACTGTGCTCCAGCTTGAGATTCTGTCTCAAAAAAGAAAGAAAGAAAGAAAGAAAAGCCTTTCTCATAATGCCCACCTTTGTTGTTATTATCCTCCTCTTCCATGTTCACAATGTACCCCACTTGCGCTCATGCTGTACCTAGTCCTCATCACAGCACTGATAAGTATGCTCTCTGCTGTACTACTGGAACCCGTCTATCTCACCTGAACTCCTTCAGGAACATCTTTTTCAGTCCCTAACAAACACCCGAAGCTAATTCCTTCCTTGGGGCCTTTGTACCCGCTATCCTATCTGCCTGAATACGCCCCCTTCCCCCAGCACCACTAGATAATTGCAAAGACTCACCCCCTCACTTCGTTTAGGTCTCTACTGAAGTAAATTACCCTTCATCTAGACAAGTAACCCATCACTCTCTTTCCCTTTACTTGGTTTTTATTTATTACTTATACCTAGCACACACAGTTGTCTTCAATCAACATTCCACGTATGTAAAGGCACTGTGTTGTTCACCGGTTATCCTTACAGCCTGGAATAATACCTAGCATACGTTAAGTCTAGATAAGCATTTGCTGATAAATACTTATTAAATGAATAACAAAATGAATTAAGCTAAGGCTCATCTGAATTCATTATGGCTGAGAAAAAAGGGGCAGGAGAGCATTTCCTGCCTGAGCACAAAGAAATTTGGGGCTTCCTGGGAAGAGATTGGCTTGGTACCTGTCCCCCGCCCTCAGGGAAAAGCAGTGTGTCTTCCAGCACCACGTGGAAACCGCTCAGCACTTTCCTGCCGTTGCTCCCTTCAGTCTGCAGCTCCGCGGGACGGCAGGAGACCACGGTGGTGGTGTACTGAAGGGAAAGGAATGAGAGAATAAGCCCCGACCCCAGCCCCAGCCCTCTCCACACCGGGACTGAATCCCTCCACGTGGCACCCTCTTCCCCAAACCGCCTTGCCGGCTGGGCAGTCTCAAGTGCCTCGCCCGTGACGCCGTACCTCTCGAGCATAGCTGTCACGCTGACACCGGAACGCCATACCTGCAGGCGCAGACAGAGGTACACGCGCAGGGAAGCCTGGGAGCGAACGGAGAGCGACGTGGGACAAACGTCATTAAGGGAGCGTGTCTGCGCAGAAGCAGGAGGGTAAAGAATGGAATGCGGTTTGGATAAATTTACTGAAAACGCGAATTGCATATTTGCTGGGTTGCTTAACGACTGTTCTAAGGCTTTACAAAGGACAAGACCCGGAGGAAAAAAACAAACAAACAAAAACAAAAACAAACGAAGTAACAAGAAATAAACGCGGGCCCGACAACGGCACGTGGGTTTAGCGAAGCGCCGCACTTGGGCCCCGAGGGATGTAGCGTAGTCCGGAGCGTGGCATAGGAGGCGGGGTAGAGTGGCGATGGGTTGTACTGAGCAGGGCGCTGCCGAGGTAGAAATAGAAAGCAAGGGCTGGGAGAGGTGGGCTACGCTGGTAGCCTGCATTCTTGCGCGGGGAGCGATGCGGTGGATCAGCCTCCTCAGGCCTGAGTTCCGAGGACGGGTGAGAGCTGGCGCCGAGACCATGCCGCACGCGCCTCGCCCTCGGGGTCGGGCGGGGTGGCTCGACGCTGGGTGAATCCCGCAGCAGCTTGTGGCGGAGGCCGAAGGTGCCACGTGAGTTGGAGTGCGAGAGCGCGCGGAGCTGACCAACATGAGAAAGCGCTGGCGGCGAGTGCTTGTCCGTGTTGTGGGACGTAAAAATACAATTGCCCGGTGGGTGGGCGGCCTGTTAATCCCAGGCGCGTAGCTTGGAGCGCAAGGGACAGGCCTGGAGAATCACTTGGAAGCCCAGAGGTGGCGGGGCAGAGGTGACGTTGGGAGCCGGGGATCACGCGCATTTGCACTCCAGCGCGGACAACGACAGAGCAGTAAACTGTCGCTCAAAAAAAAAAAAGAAAGAGAAGAAAGGAGGAAGCCTTTGGCTGGGGGAGACGTTGGCTCCCACGCCGTGTTGAATCCAGCATTTTGGGACGAGCC